AGCCATGGTCGTCCCAGTGCAGGGCAACGGCCTCCCTACTGTCCTTCCAGTCGTCTATATTACTATTACTAATAAAGTTGACTGTTTTTCTTCTGTAGTAAGATAAAAAAAATCGATTGTTTAAAAATACGGGTAGTAGTGAGTTTGTCCTGAAACAGTCTCGTTCCATCTCAGTTTAATATTTTACAATTCCATAAAGAGCCTACTAAAAAAATCGAATGTGTCAAATTCTTTATCGAATTCAAAAAATTTGAGCATTCTATTATTATAAACGTTTTATCTACGTTTAAGAAAAACCAACTTTAATCCCCTCTTTTTTTGAACTCAGTTAATATACCAAAACACTAATAAGAGTAACAAACACTTCACTGAAAACCGCATCAAAAATCAGTTTAGCCAATAGCGAGGTCATCGTGCACATACATACATACATACGTCAAACTGAAAACATCCCCCGTTTTTTTGAAGTCGGTTTAAAATTACTTCATCACTGAATTCAACATCAAAATCTATCGGAAGATGTAGCGCATCCAGACGAGTCAATGAAGCCCTCCATCACAACGATTTAGTCACTATTCTCGTTAATACAGCAGTTCACCCAAAACACTAAGCTAACACAATCCTATACCATCTAATAATGTATGCAGTACTTACCTAACATCATACACAAGCAACGCAATGCAGGGACATCAAAGTGCCATCATTTATATATTACTACGGCACTCCAGTAATTAAGAGCCGCTAATGAGAATACCAACAGCCGTGTCACGTCGCCTATTAATTATGATTACTTGTTCCATGTTATGACAGCCTGGTACCCCGGCTAAGGAAATCTTAAAGAAGTTCGTGTGGCCAAATATTTTTTGTTCCTCTCTCAAAAGTAACATGTGAAAGTGAAACTTTTATTGTAGCCAATCTTCGAAGTTTTGATAAGATTTTCTTGCAGGTTGATCTAGCGATCAACCTGCAAGAAAATCTCAAAATCTTATAACATCTCATAACATTGATAAGATATAGCTATCTGGTTTCAAAGGTTGCTCTGAAATTATCCATATTCTTTTAGGTACCTTAATACTTATCTATATGCAAATATAATTTCAGTTTAGCAGCTGATCATTTTGCTATACGTACACGTAGCTAAGAAACATCTAGGCACAGAAATGGTGTCAGTCAAAAAGCTTACCTCCGTCTATACTTATTTAAGGACAATTTAAAACTATTCAAACGTAGGTACTCTTGTTATTTACCTTATATTGTTAAACTAAATTCATTCATTTCATTCAAATGTCCGACGATGAACTTTACAGTAGTTTTAAGATAGATAGAGATTATAGATACCTACCTACCCATGAACGAAGTCGCGGAGAACTTGACGGGTTACCGGGGCTCCGGCTCGAAGCGCAGGAGTAGGAACAGGTAGGTGGTTTTTAATCAGTAAGAGTCTGACACTCCCTCCGCCTGAACAAAACATAAAACAGTCCAATTTTTATCTAAGCCAACATCAATCTTACGTTCCTAAACGGCGGACAGCCTATGCAAATTTAAATTGAATCATCAGCGAACGGATTTGTTCAGTTAATCCCCTTAAAGGTCCGTTGGTCCAACATTGGTAGTAATTCGTACATTCCAAGGGACTCATCTTCGGTCTAACGCCTCTCGGTTTGAATACAAATCGTGTGTAACAGGCTTTGTGAACTGTTCTGGAAGAAATTAGACCCAGGTTTAGGTACAACTCGTAATAGGATTTGTCTGGGCCGAGTTTCAATGGGGAGAGTTTCAGGATTAAAGAACAAGTCTACTTACCATTTTTTCTTTGCAAAAATCATCCTTTGTAAGGCGGTATTAACCTAGTTGGGAGTTGGAGTAATATCTAGTCCTGTTTCCTCGTTTGTTGACTTTAAAAATTGATTTGTATTTGTAACAGGTGCATTGACTCATGTTAATGTGACGGTAGTTACTAGTTGTATACAGCTATACATTGGCATATTAGCCGCACTCTTAAACTGAGGACTCTCTGAATGTCTTCCAGATCAGCCGGTGGGAAATGACACGCAACTGTGCAAGCATATAATTATAAATAATAACTACTACTTGATATTTTTTAATAACTATCGTGAGACATACTATATTGATTAAAAATCGCGGGTTACGCACGTGAACATATACTTAGAAAACCTTAACTAGTATCGAACCACAGAGGGGTTCTTCCTCACGAGCAAAGTACTCACTAACTACTGACTACTGTATTGTGAGGTTTTCTCAGTATTTTCACGTGAGTAACCCGCGATTTTAGTTAATATAGGTATTTACTTAGATAGAACTAAGTTTTAGTTTTGCTTCAACAAACAGTTTCGCGTTACGCTTCCTTGTGCGAACCACTAAACAATGGAATCCTTGCTGGAATCTGTGTTTTCTGACAAATGTAACTTGGGTGTCTTCAAATCCAGAGTGAACAAGTTGCTCATAGGTGTGCTCCATCGTCGGCCACAATATCGGTTACCACCAGGCGAGATGGTGGCCAAACGACAACCTGTCTAGTGTATAAAAGTAGTATCGATAGGTACTTAAACAAATTCACAAATCCCAAGCCCCTTTAGGAAAATGTAGGGAGTTAGGGACGTTGTACAGAGAAGCACTTACCTAACTATCGACACGACCACTCAATGTAAAACTAACTAGATACTAAACCGTAACAAAAACATCAATTCAAAACTTAATAATTCAACTGAATAACCCAGTGGACCGTTCAAAAACTCCGTTTTAGGACGACCAACCCTTCATTACCATTTAAAGTGGTGCAAACGCGCGCAATGCGATAAGAGCTTATGCAAATTCAGATCAAATTGTTAGTGGCTCAGATTTGTTCGACTAATCCTAGGTGGCTGTGGGGGGTTGTAGCTGTAAATGTGTTTTTATTGAGTTTCTTTGTTTCATTTTTATGTAGGAAGTCAAGTACATAACCTATGTATCTAACTATAGGCATATAAATGGGAACTAACATTTGTCTAGCAAAGCTATTCAACAAAGCTGAATAGCTTTGCTAGACAATCGATGCCTGCAGAATGGTTTTTGGGTCGTGTAAGAACTCGAAAAATCACTAATCAGGTTTTAAAAGATATCTAACGTATATTTTCTCATTCTTTTTCGCCGAAAACGTTAGAAATCCCTTTCAGAAGAGGAATAACATTTGATTGAACATTTGACAATTCTTCCGTTTCGAACATTCGACAATTCTTTTAGTAAAAAACCGTCAAATGTCAATTTTATTCTAAAGTTAAAAATTAACTGATGCTTGAAAAATCGGCCCTTAATAACTTACGTATTAATTATTATTATTATCGACGCGCTTTTTATTCCCCGAAAAGAGCTTTTGCAGAGGTGCACAGGCGTGAGTTCCATAATGAGGGGCGAGCATACCTATTACCAAACATAATCGAGTTTCGGATATAATCCCAGACCCCGTGATATTACGGAGAATCTCGATGACCGAAAAACTCATAATACTTTACATGATACAGCAAATAAAAGGGGTGTCCGTTTTGGTCTACCTACGCTAACAAAATCACTTAGGTACCTAGCAGGTGGGTGTTTCTTCAAAAAACTTTAACTTTTATTTAACAAATCATTATCCTCCCGCGTTGTTAAGCATCGCGGTAACTTATTGGCATTTATATTTTATTGAATTGGGTGAGAGCAGTGACAGGGCCAATTTTTTGAAACTAAACCTGGTATTTTAATCAGCAGAATTGTTAACTTTGGCTTAAGGATAATGACGCCGTTCATTTTTTGTTTTTTTTTTTGTATAATCACCCAGGTACGCATGCGACCACACAACTAACAAGCATCCAATATAGGTACTTACCAACTCAATTACCACCGAATTAATTAAAACTTGTATGAACCCAAATACAGACAAAATTGAAAAAGGATTAATTCGGATGCGGGCTGCAGACGAAACATTATCGATGCACCCTCCCTAAACGAGAGGCAACTCTTTAATATGCATCGAATTTGTCTTTCATTATTTTTATTGTGCATATTTACTTGGGGAGAGGTTTGGTCCTCCAGACACCCAATTAAAACCGATTTAGGCTTAATCTTTAATGAAGGGTGGTGAATTTGCAAGTTATTTTGGTTAAATTAGGAACGTGCAGTTCGACTAATAACCCGGACGAATATCTTATCAAATTTGTGGCAACAGGCTCGTCTTATTACGGCGTTGAAGATATTGAAATAACTTTAGTTTGTTTTTATGATGGATGGATTTAAGATGGAAGGATGTATGTCGTGAATGTGTAAGATTTTGTGAGAAGATGGACGGCTGATAAATTAGTTGAGGTATAATTATTGTACTTTTTATATAAGATACCTATTACATAAGTGTAAAATAGTAAATAAGTAACATTTTTTTATTGTTTAACTGTATAATGTTTTGGCTTGTGCAATAAAATTATACATGTGCCTATAAATAAATAAATCAAGATTTTATAGACTTTTACGAATGAACTGAACTTTTTATTAGCGTGTAAATTAACGATAAATTGATGAATGATTGTAAGCGGTATGACCGAGTAGTTGGTCCACTAATCGGCTTTTATACGACCGACTACTCGACTTATCGCCATGTCCTAATCAGCACATCTTTTATTATTAATACCACGCACTTTTTCCTGAAGAAATAACATAACATAACATCACGCCTTTTATCCCCGAAGGGGTAGGCAGAGGTACACATTATGCCACTGTACAATGTAACACCTACTTTTCACTGTTTATGTTATGAGTCTCATGTAATAGGGGGTGAGCCTATTGCCACATACCGGGCACATTTCCAGACTCCGTGTTACTACTGAGGTTTTTACAAACCCAGTAATACTTTGCTCGACCCGGGAATCGAACCCGAGACCCTTTTCCCGGCTGTGGCATTTTCGACCACTCGGCCAATGAGGCAGTCAGTTCTTGATGAAATAATAAAAAGAAAGATTCGTGTTATATAAAATATACAATTTATTAATGTACATAATTTCGGAAAGCATTTCTATGTCAACAAGGACAAGGAAACATACATATTTATTATGTAATAACAATTTGGTATATTATAACTACCTGTTTTCAGATCACGAATCAAATTCGACTATATAATAACATTTTTCTATTTTAATAATAGGATTCTTAAACAGGCCAACTTTTTATTGCTTTTTTTCTGCAACTGAATTGCATTTAAGGCGGCATTAAACGTGAATGGTAGGGAAACTCACAGATTTGGATGAAAAGACAAGACACTAGATAGATGTTAACATTACTTCAATAGACAATTATACGAAAAAAGTTAAGGAATGTAAGAAAGAGATGGCTATTGATATTGCATTCTAAAATATTAATCAAAATGTGGCCCATTTCAAGAAACTGATTACTATAATTTTATTATTTTCTCTTTACTTTTGTTTACATTTTAAAGTAACTGCCATTGCATTGTCATCAACTAACAATAATAGATAATAAACAAAAGATTTAAATACAACAAAGAAAAACAACAACGTTCTAAATTTAAAATAAGACAAGCAGTACGTTTTTGATTACACGTGTCAATTCGAATTTGACGTTTATAACGTAGTGTTGCTATGTTCAAATTGCTTGATCCTGATTTGTCTAATTTGGTTTTTCTTCGCCTGGTGCACCTACAAGGAACCAACGCGAACGCGCTCGTACGGCGACGTTACGTACTAGCCTCTTCTTGTCGTCCAATGAGGGCGCTAGATCTAATAATACGTCTTGTTTGTATGGCAATAAGGTCGAAGTTCGGAAAGTATTCGCTATGTCGTAAAGGCACTCTAAACTCTTTATTCTAACATCCTGGAAGAAAGAAAATATTATTTTAAACAAACAATCAATAGTATACCGTACGGACAAACGAGTTCAAAAGAAATTAAATTACGATAGAACCAATAGTAGCTTACTTTATGATTTACTTAATATCAATAATAAAATATTATTTTTTCAACATTGCTGAGATTGATTGCGCCTGAATTCGACATAGAAGCTTCTATGTCGTAGATTTTAACTTGTTTGACCAATAAAATATTGAGAGTTACGTCAATTTGGACCCAAGATATTTTACACTACATAAGCGCCATCTACTTTACTTACAATGACACCTGTCAAAAGCACGACAGATAAAAAAAGAAGAAACTTACCATAGACTTCATATATTTGCTCAAAGCGATTAACCTAGGCAGTATAGTCTGTAGGCTGTCTGACACCGCTGTGGGATTGGACTGCACAAAGTGACATAACACGTCGAGGGACACTTGCAACATGTCCTTATTGTCGTATTCTAGGCAGTCTATGACTATTGGTGCAACCTGGAATAAATATCACATACAACTTAATTTTGGTTTGGGATAAGTCGGTAAACGAGCCTACGGATCACCAGGGATGGTAAGCAATCGGCGTCACCCATGGACACCTGAAAGACCAGAGCCAAGTACACGTTACAAGTACGTTACCGGTCTTTTGAGGATTAGGACTTTGATTGTTGGGGATTCAGAGACTGGGGAGACTGGGGAGGGGAGGTAATTAGGCCTGCGGTATCCTCGCGCACACGACGAAACACAACGCAAGCCTTGTTTCACGTCGGTTTTTTGTGAGGCCGTAGTATCACTCGAGCTGACCCATTCGTGCCGAAGCATGGCTCTCCGTGATGTTAAAACATATGAATACCAGCTTTGCGTCCGCAGTTTCGCCTACATCACTCAAAAGCATCATCTATATATTAAAAATTCATTCTATCTACTGAGTGGGTGACCCTTTTAGCATAGGCATATTGTCAGCGTCTCTTTTCTAATTCTACTGTTTTAATTTTTCATCTCTTATATTTTTATTACTTCCACTGTCACACCTTGATTGTCTTTTTTTATATTTTATTTATGCTGCATCGTGCCTGGTGCTAAATAAATGTTTTTTCTTTCTTTCTTAGTGAATATTACATGGCAAGCCTATTCGGCAGATTTCGAGTTTGTCACAAAACAGATATGCAAACAGACAAGGCGGGATCTGTTTTATAACATGTTTAAGGATAGCATCGCAAGGTAACACAACAAACAAAAACCTACCTTATTAGCCTCATTTTTAAGTACAGTCTTCGGTGCCTTGTCTAGTACATACGCCCAACTGAGCAAATAACTTTCTTTTGTTTCAGCCGATAGGTTAGACTTAATTTTTTCAGTCAATACGGAGAATGTTTCGAACATCCTCTGTTTGTATAAGAGACTTATCCTACAGTGCTGCTTTCTGTTCAAATAATCTGTATTCTCGTTCATTATTAGTTTAATGGCTTCCGAACCGTGCGTACAGTATTGTGGAGTAGCTAATATTCCTACAATCTGAAAGAAAAATAAAATGTTATTTAGATTATTAAACGTTACTTGACGTAATATTGTCAAATTGCGATCAAATACTTTTTGTAGCAGTTCAGTCAAAAATAGTCGTTATAATAAGTGTGTTAAGGTTCAAAATGGAAAGCATTGTTACCCCCGAACCATCGATGTAGTTGACTATTAATGGCTTAAATACCTCATTTCATACGAGAAAACTTAAATTTGCCATAGTGACAAGTGATTTTAGACACAACATGTATTTTTTATAAGGGACAAGCCTTCTTTTTTTTTTTTTTTTTTTCGCCCGGGGAAAATGCCGTGCATACCCGGCCTCGCGTGGCCGAGGCCGGGTTATGTGGGGCTCGAACTATAAGGGACAAGCCTGCCGCAACCTCCCAAAACCGCTGCAACTCCTGTAGCCAGGATCTGCAGTAGATACAACCATGAAAACACCGGAACACTGAAGTCCGGCGCGTCCCAGGTACATGAATAACTGTCTTGGTTCCCGCAACGAAATAAATCAGGAGATATGAGATAAGAAAAAGAAAAAATCTATTAACTGTTTGAGTACCGGTTTTGTAGACACAATTATAGAACAATAGGTTGCGGTCACCGGTGACCGCTTGGTGTTTGACAGTTTAAAGAACAATAGGTTGCGGTCACCGGCGTCCTCGCGGTGTTTGACAGTTTAATGAATAAATTACCAACAACTCACCTTCTGCAACCAAAACAAGAACACATCGCTGCCTCTCATCAGCAAAGACTTAGTGATCCACCCATATAACTGTATCAATCTTGGACATAGTTTCTCATCTCCCCTATTACACGACGCCAACTGAGTTTTCAACATTTCATATAGCAATTCAAACTTCTGACCATGTTCAGCCTTATTCAATAAATGTGCGATTAACACGCACGCCTTCGTCCTTACAACGTCTTTATCACTCTTTAAAGCGACCTGCAAGGACACCGTCATAATCTCCTCGAACTTAGAATTGTACACGATTTGATGCAACGGAGTGTACAAACATTCAATTATAAGGAAATATATATCGTCCTGTTTACACCTTTCTAAAGCTAGAGGCGTATGTTTAATTAGAATGTTCTCCTGTTTTTCTGGAGGTAAGCTCCCTATAGTGTTCGCTATTAATGTATACCCATGTGCTAAAGCGTCTGGACTTGACGACGAGATTTCTTTATACAACCAATCTAGTACAGGATCTATCAATCCATGATCGCTTTCTATCTGCGTAACTTTTTCTATAGTAAACACACTAGCCATGGAAATGGATCCACTTAGTGCCTCAACGACATGCAAAGCCTCAGGGTCATTTGCCGTAATTATCTTTAGCATTTCTTCAATTATAACTTTAGTAAAATCGTCTATACTCGCTAAGTTTGTGAGCACGTTTAAGCGTTTCTGAAAGGCAATTTTGTCCTGCGATATGTTGTCTATACTGCATTTTCCTTTGACAACTAAGTCCATGATTAGTTCGGGATATTTCCTTGCTATTACGTGTATCGTTTCCACGCTGATACCGAGCAGGTCATTATCTTGTGCATGTTGGACATTGTAGATCAGCACCTCGACAAAAGGCAATACAAGGTCCTCGCCCAAACATTCCTGCACTCTTATTAAAGTTTTGAAGCCAGCCATTTGGAATTCTTTCGAGGTTTGGCTAACAGCCGACAGGCATATCTGTGGAACGTTAGTTATCTGTGCTTTTACTTCGTCCAACAAGCCTTTCTTATTAGCAATCTCATACAAGTCTCCAATAAAGTCCAAACTTGCTATTTGCAATTTTGGCGCAGTTTTGAGTTCGTAATACGCTACTGTTGCGGGGACCATAGCTCTAGTGATTGAGGCACAGGATTGATTGGAAGCATTTGCGGCAGTTAGTAGAATCTTCGTGCCTTTGACGAACTGCGCAACGGTGGTCGCATCCGCTATAGTGCTTTGTGCAGAAATAATGACCCCTTTTAGGAAATTTTCAAAGTCTTGGTCTGTGTTAGCGGTTGACGCCATTTTAGCAACCAATGCTCCCAATGCCTCATGCGCCGTGGTTTTAAGTTCGTCATCAGTTTTGTGCGACATCTCTCTGTTGAGTGAAGACCACAGAGCTCTCAGAAATGGACTGTATGATTGCGGTGTGAATGTTTTACAGCTTTCGATCTAAAAATTGAAATTTTATGGATTAGTTTGTGGTGTTAAATTTGATAAAAGATATAAACTTTGCCTCGGACAACGACTTTCTTACATACATTTGAGTTTCGAAAACCTTTAAGTAATGTACCTTTTCGTGCCAAAATCTAATTATATTTATAATTCATCACGCACACTAGTAAGTAGAGACTAGCAGGACCGTCTTAGACCACGCTGAGGCCCTTGGGCTTACAATAATTCAGGACCCTTTTGGAAAGTTTATTCTTACAGTGCTAGGATACAAGGAACGTTAAAAAAAAGAGCTAGAGGTAGCACTTTCATACAAGTTCACATACACATGACATCCAAACCCGAAATAACAATTGGTGGAGCACATTTGCTCCTTGCGGGTATCGAACCCGCTACAAGTTGCGTACGTGTATTTGTTCGTCGTAGAAATTGGCGGTTTTTCGGAGCCCCTTGAGGATGGGGGCCCTGGGTACGGGCCCCGAGTGCCCTAATGGTAAGGACGGGTCTGAAGATTAGTATAAAAAGCACTTACCAACAACTTCAAAGAATCAATTTTGGCCAACCTCAAGTTAGAATCCAACTTCTCAATCAAGAGAATGATACAGGAATCTGCAAACTCTGGTATGGCACACAAACAGGGCGCTAAAGAGTTGGCCAAGTCTTCTCTCGTCACCGCAGCAGGATCATCATTTGACGGATGGAAGTCAATAGGAAAGTAACAAGAGATTACATCAAACATTTCTTCAGCCAAATGGCCAAGAGGAAAGATCTTTATGAAGTTTTGTAGGAACTCGAATAGGAAGACTAGATTGCGAGGGTCTCGTTCACCGTCCATAGCCGTTATAACTCCGTATACGAAGTCTGAGCCGAGGCTTTTTAGGTCTGAAAGCACAATGGAATATTTTGTTAGTTTGACTAAGAAATTACAGCATGCTATGTATAAATTACAATGAAACACTGATTTATGGATGGTAGTTTCACCTATCCACCTATGACTTGGTCTAATAAGATTTACTATAAAAAGGGCTGTTAAGCGAGAGCAACTGTCGACCAAGGGCTACTGGACTAAAATATTGTTAGAATATTTTCTAAAAGTTCACAGCAATAGCATGGAGTCTGGAATTGCAACCAGTATTTCACTTACATGAAAATTAGAACCACAATATTTATTTGTAGTAACTCAAAACAAAGGGTAGAAAATTGGTATTTTCATTACAAATAAACTAAACGGGTTTATTACAATAATAATGTCCATAGTGCATTTATATTAGCTTTCTAAAGGGCCTCTGCGAAGTTGGCTTCAGCCCCTCATATGCCTCCCAAATGACTGGGACTAATAATAATAATCCACTACTCTTCAACTGAGCAAAGGGCGACATTTTATTCTCATCTAATTAAACAATTAACATGAGCCAACTTTATCTTCTTATTTGTTCATTTTTATTATGATTTCATAACACGAACAAGTAAGATAAACTACTTTTGATAAGAATATCACAAAAACATTATGAACTGATTTCTTATAAATTATTTATAGAATTATAAATTCTGTCATAGTCTATTCGGAAAAGAAAGATTTTAAATAATGCACTGAACACAGTTATTTAAACTGTCAAACACCAAGCGGTCACCGGTGACCGCAACCTATTGTTCTATAATTGTGTCTATAATGACGGTACTCGACGAGTTAATATGTAAAAATTGTTGACAAAATTTGTTTTTTTAAAGTAAGCAATTTGAAATATAACTAGTTTTCTAAGTATTTAAAACTAGTTTGTAATCAACTTAGTTAAGTACCTAATTTAGTATAAATAATTAAAATGTGCCTGAAGAAACATAAAATGTAGAATAATGTGTCAATATCCATAGATATGAGAATTTAATTTATAGACACATAACATAACAAAACATAACATCACGCCTTTTATCCCCGAAGGGATAGGCAGAGGTGCACAATATGCCACTGTACAATGTAACACTTTTCACTATTTATGTTATGAGTTCCATGTAATAGGGGGTGAGCCTAAGTGAGAAAATTTAATTAATATACACATATGTCTAATTAATAGACACATTGTATGTCTATTAATTAAATAGTAGTAAAAACCTTAATGTTGATAGCAGTAACAATAGCCAACATAATAAAAATGCTCACTTGACAACAATAAATTTAACATTGTAACTTTCGTGAATAATACTAAATTAGTATGTTTTTCCGCTCACTCGCATAATGATTTCTTTAGAAACTCAACTTGTTTCAAGCCATGCTATAGCCTCATATTCTTAAGCAACTAGACAAATTCCTCGTCAAATAATCACTTGAGTAAGCCGAAAAATATAATTTTTTTTTTTTTTTTTTCTATTCTATATCCTGCAACACAGCAATCTGTTTATAAACATTTAGCCGCTTTCTTGGCTGACTCATTGTCTGAGTGTGGCATATTGCATTGAAGAGAAGTATCCAATGAATTTCCCTTCCTACTAGCTGTTGAATCGGTCTATGAGGTTAGGGACACTGCTCCTCTTCAGTCTTGCAAATTGGATACTTCCAGATCCCGATAACTTAGAAGCAAGGGCATTGACATGCTTAGATAGCTTTTTCTGATAGTTTGAGCCTCTCTGAGAAATTTCCTCTCTAACAGTTTTTAGCCTTAGGTCTTGTAAAATGTATTTGTTGCTAATGCTTTTGGGTATATTGTACATGCATCTCATTGCCTTCATTTGAAACCTTTCCAGAATTTCTATATTGCTGGTACTTGCTGTTCCCCAGAGCTCAATACCGTATGCCCAGATCGGTTTCAGGATAGCCTTGTATACTGCCATTTTACTTTCATTCGATAGTTTTGAGTTTTTACCGATCAACCAGTACATATTTCGAAGAGTTGTGTCAAGCTGTTTTCTTTTGGTCCAGATGTGTTTTCTCCAAGTTAATCTTCTGTCGAGATGCATGCCAAGATATTTAGCAGTTTCGTCTTGCGGTATTTGTTCGCCATTAAGTAGAACAGGAGGGCAGTTTCCTTTTCTTAAGGTAAAAGTGACATGGACTGACTTGGTTTGATTAGCCTTTATTCTCCATTGTTTCAGCCATGTTTCAACTTCATTAAGGTGATTTTGCAGGGTTTCCGAAGCGATATCTGGATCCTTATCCACTGCCAGAATTGCAGTGTCATCCGCATAGGTGGCCATGGTGGTATGTGCGTGAGTGGGTACATCTGCAGTAAACAGAAGATACAAAACAGGCCCTAGTATGCTGCCCTGTGGGACTCCTGATTGTATTTCGTACAATTCTGATGTCTCACCGTTGAACTTGACTTCATAACATCTTTTGCTTAGGTAACTCTCAAGTATTGGAAAAAAGGAGTGTGGCAGAGACTTCTTGATTTTGTACAGTAGACCCTCTTGCCAGACCTTGTCAAAGGCCTGACTAATATCCAGGAATGCAGCCGAACAATATTGCTTGGTTTCAATTGTATGACCGATAGTATCTGCCAATCTGTGTACTTGCTCGACGGTACCATGGCTATGTCGAAAACCAAATTGATGTTCTGGAAGTACTCTATCTAGGTGTGGATTGAGACGATTGATGATAATCCTTTCAAAGATCTTACTGAGAAGAGGGAGAAGACTAATTGGTCGGTATGACGACACTTCCTCTACAGGTTTGCCAGGTTTAGGGATCATAACAACTTGAGCAATCTTCCACTGGCTTGGATAATATGAGAGCCTCAGGCAGGCATTAAAAATGTTTACTAAGTAGATTATTCCTTTTCTCGGCAGGTTTTTCATCAGCGTGGAGTCTATAAGGTCATATCCAGGGGCTTTTCCAGATTTCAGAGCCATAATCATCTTATCTATCTCTTTAGGACTTACTGGTTTAATAGGTGCACAAAGCTGGTAAGGAGATTTTAAGTAGGTTATAATTTCTTTATCAGTTTCTGGGTTATTACTGGGGAAAGGTTTGAAGACACTCTGAAGATATTCAGCAAATACTGTTGCTTTTTCTAGATCGGATCTAGCCCAGTCCCTGTCCTGTTTCCTTAATGGTGGAACATGGATATCCGGTCGTTTCAATTTCTTTGTTGCGCACCAAAGTGAATACTTGGTGTCTTTATGGGGAGTTAAGTGGGCCAATTTACTCTGCACTGTGTGATTCTCCAGATCTTTGATAAGTATCTTTATTTCTTCTGTAATTTTATTAAACTTGGTTTTATCTGAAGGATACCTTGTTTGTTGCCATTCTTTCCTCAATTTTCGCCGTTCTTGGACTTTGTCTCTTATTAGTTTGGGGTAGTTTTTCAGTTTTAATTTAGGGTTTTTTTGTGTAGGTGTAGTTAGACAGGCGGCAGTAAGAATAGCTGTATTGAATTTTTGAATGCTTATTTCTAGGTCCTCTGGCGATTTTAGTTTAATTTTTAGATCTAATGTTTCACTGACCATTTCTTGAAATTGTTTCCAGTTAGTTTTATGATTATGTAGTTTGATGGTAGTTTCTTGCAGGATAACTTTTTTGTACACATTTAGGATTACTGGGGTATGATCTGAAGATAGGTCATCACACGCTTCTATTTTTATGTAACCTCTGCCAATATATTTCTTCTTGTAAGGTGCTTCGATCGTGACTTTCACTTGACCAATATGTTTAAGATTGAAGATGTCTTTATTGTTGGGCCTTGGTTCCAAGTCTAGGAAGTACATTGGGAGTTTTTCTTTGGTTGTGCGATGTAATACATTTACTATTTGCCTAACTTCGTGTCCATTTGCCCTTAGTTCTTCTTTTACAAAGGAAGTATCTTCACTAGAGTGGAGGCCTCTTATAACCACTCTATATGCTCGCTCGCACTTAAGTTTATAAGTATAATGATTAATGTTATTTTCAATAAGGTTGTTTCTTATAACTTTGTATGCTTCAATGTCAGTTGGCATTAATTTAATGATGTGACCGGATTTTAGGGTAGTTAATGTGTATTTATCATGTTCGATTACGCTGTTTAGGAGAGCTTTGAGTGGCACTATGTCGACAATGCCAGTAACAAAAATAGGTTCTGGTTTTGGGATGAACTCTTTCGGTTTTTTGTCTGACACATTATCATCATCGCTAAGAATTTCGAACTGATTTTGTGTAGAGATAGAGTAAGTTGTTCGTTTACTTGCAGGTTTAATTATATCATTACTTGTTGGACTATTTTCGTTTCTTTTCCGTTTTCTTATTTCAGGTACTTTGTCTTGTTGCCAGTCTTGATTTGGATTTTGATTCTGTTTCACGATTAAGTCTCCTTGTGTTCCAGGCGTGGCTTTAGTGTAGTTTTCTTTTTGATTTTGGGTTAAGTTTTGTAGATTTGGTTGCTCCAGTGTTTCTATGGCGGACATACTGTTACACCGATTTCTTATAAACATGCTTTTATGGAATGTTTGTTGTACCATAGTGTTGGGGTTAATTTTGTTTTTAATATTATCATTCATGTTGTTCCCACGAGTCAGGTCGAAATATGTGGTCACTTAAGGGGTGACGCCTATTCCCTTAAGAAGGCTGTATACAACGACGTTTGCCGGGTCCGTCGAGGTTGGCGCTTGTGACTTAACTCCCTATAAGCCATGCATTCTGTCGGCGCGTTTCCCACCTTAGAATTAGGGTAAGTTTTTATAGAGGCTGTCTACCTCTTGACACGGACAATGAAGTCAATGCCCCCGATTCCGTCACTAGAATGACGGATTTGCGGGTTGTGAAGATCATTTCCTATCTTCCACAAAGGCTATCTTGTTAGGATAGCTAAGTCAGGTTAATTAACCGCGAAAAATATAATAATAATAATTTCACAATAGCTGAAAAAATTCTGATACTCAATTCACAGAGACACATAATGTTTAAATTAAAATAATATATCTTGTTAAAAAATTGTATATGCTGATTTAAAATGTTATACTCACATTCAATATCCTTATTACACAACTTCTGTATGATCACATAGATGTTATATCTATCCTGTCTTGTCTGCGACTGACATGTCACCTCTCGGAAAAGTATAGTCAGGAAATCAGTACAATTTTGTATATTGTACTCAGACATGTCAATCAACACTGAGTATCCTTCTATCACTGGTGGAACTACTCGGTGATTGTCCTTCAGTCTGTCTATATAGAACTTAGATATAAACTTGACTTGCATGTCATTTAAATAATCTCGAGGAAGTTCTTTTAATATTTTAGTATAGAAACGCATCCCTTTCTCTCGGTTTTCTGGTTCTTTGTTTGTTAAGACGCCCGCCATGTTTTCTACGAGATCTGCGATGTCTAGGTGGCCTGATACAATGTCTGCAAATTAAATTGTGGAATCTTATTTGAATTTTGTTCCTTTCTTTTTCTTTGACATGTATGAATTAATTATGAATTAATGTGGCTTTCTTATAATCATTAATTATTGGTTCGAGGTAAACTTACGGAAAATATATTTTATAATTTATAAAGGAAATATAGAAGTATTATCAAAGGAATGGGTTTCATGTCCTTGTGCACTTAAATGATGAAGAATGGTTTTAGTACAAAGTTGAGAGGCTTACCAGCGATAATGCTGTGTGTTTCATTAAATATATCGCCATGGTTGATTATAAGTTCCGCCAATTCCGGTTTAAACCAGGCTGAAGTCATCTTGGCCAATAATTTTGATGTTTCACAGACAACCGAAAAACATTTAAGTGAACTTAAAATATCATTGTATTATAAAAACGTATTAAATTTATGTATGTGGATTCGTATTAATTGCAAAAATTTTGCACCGTTTATACGGTAAGAAAATAAAAAACTTTATTGTTTTGTCAATTTGAGGTTATTTGAATTGTTTTTAAATTTTGTTCGACGTATTACAGACGCAAGTATTTTTACCGTACAGTCTGAAATGTCAAAAAAATACTAATTGAATCATAATATTGCCAGATTGAAATAATGAAAATCTCAAGCAAAATCAGGAAGTATGGTCACCACTTTTGTTTCGCCTAAAAACTTGTTATTATTTATCTCAATGTTTATGTTTAGTTTTTTAATACACTCCACGACGCATGTACTTTACTTTATTCTTATGTGGGATGACTGAGGTTATAAAGAACCTATTTTATATGGTTTTTGGTTTATAAAAGAAGTGGAAATATTTATTTTGTATTTTTCTTAAACTGCGTTTCTGAACGACTGTCATATGTTCAGTGAAGTGATCAAGTGAGGTTATGTTTTTAATGTCATTGTTGTCATTAAAGCGCGACTGATGAAAAGTGATGCAATTATTAAATCACTGTGCAATTGAAACTAAATCAAAATTGGTCCTTTGAATAAATTAGTAAGGGCATATCAAACTTTGAATATGTCCCACAAAACGTTGATAGACTTCGTGGTTAAGTACCATACACCGCGGTTGCTAAATAACGTCGTATTTTTTCCCAGCAATGGAAACTCGTATTTTGGTCGAAGATTATACTTTCCTGCGCCTTCGTCGTCATCAACTCCTAAGGTACAGTCGCCCAGAACTTTTAGTACATCAGCACCGAAAATAACCGAAATCCAATTGAGTCCAAAACCTAAAAAAACCGAAGGAACCTTCCAGTTAATGTTTACATGTAAGAAATGCAACACAAGAAACACGAAATTCATTTCGAAACTAGCATACTACAAAGGAGTTGTTATCGTAATTTGCGAAGGCTGTGACAATAAGCATTTAATAGCCGATAACTTGAACTGGTTTACTGACATGAATGGAAAGAAAAATATTGAAGATATAATGGCGGAAAAAGGTGAAACAGTACAGAAAATATTGTCAGCAGACTTGGAATTTATTGCTAAAGAAATGGCAAAAGGTATTGAGAAGAATGAAGACAATTTATTGTTAAAAGAGTGAAAGTGATGGGACTATACTTAAGTTACTTAGCTTTATGCCTTAGATCTAGTTATTACATACATTTGAATGCATGAATTGCAGATTAATAGTGTACATGCAGAACAGGTCAGAGAAATCTGCATTATTCATAAATTAGCTATTACTTATAGCTGTCCTTTAAAAACTTGTACTCCTGTGATTCCATTACCTGTATGTTTTCTATATTGATTTGTGTTAAAAAGATTTATATTGTCATCTTTGTTAAGGGATTCTAAAGAAGTCTAAACCTGAACTTCCACTGCCACTGTAGCTGGCGGTGGATATTCAGCTCTAAACCTTAGCTTCTAGACAGTAAATGTAACTCAATAAAGATAAAAGAAAGGAAATATATTACTATTTTATAATAAGTTTCTTAATTACCTCATTGTGGAAGGTATGTACAAGTATTATTTAATTTTGTTATCTGATTAAAAATGTATATTTCTCATGCATAAGATAGAAGATAATTTTGTGATATAAAAACATAAAATTGTAATAAAATATTGAATAAAAAACATAGAAATAAAAAGATTATATGATTTATTCTCAATCCATATTACAAGAGATTACAAATCAGATATGGCCAACCTAAACATATAAAATCGAAACAGATTCTTATCCATAGTAGGGCAACATGTCATATCTATTAAAAAAAAAATCATATTTTAGGCTGAGATTATAAAAATAATGAATTGTGTTGGTGAAAACATTTTGAAATTATGAGTAATGACAAATTCGATCAGCTATAAAGCTAAATACAAGGACTTTGAAAAAAATGTGGATGTAATGTCATTTACAAATGATGAAGCACCAAAATGTAAGTAACATAGTGTATTTATGTGTGCGTGTTATTCCAACACTGTAATGTATGAACTGTAATGGTGGACCATCTCACGCGACAGTAAGTGTATTCTGCATGTAAATTTATAGTAACCAGGTACAGTTGTAGAGACTATGTCCACCTTTTTTTCAACATCCTTAATCAAATGTGAATGCTGCCCTACCCCTAAAGCTAAACATAGATCTTACACTTAATACTTTATAAAAATTCAGCAGATAAAAGTTACACAAAAATATTTTTTAATTGGCACCAGTTGGTAATCATTTCTGAAAAATACTCTATAAAAATAAGGCACAATTAATCACATTATGTATTACATTTCATAATCTCTTACAATTAATATACTAAGTATTATTTGTGCGATAATTAAATTATACAAAAAATTAATGTACAAAAATCTTAACGATATAAAAAGAATGTAGTAAGGAATGCAACAGTAATTATTATGTGGGATTTTGTCTTACAAAATACACAAAACATACTTTTAAAAAATGATAGTAATAAGTAGTCTTCTCTGGGATTATAACATGTCTAGTATACAGTATATGCTGTCAACATAACATTCTGTGTCTCAAGAGTGTTTAGACATTTTGATGGTAGTAATGGTTCATCTGACTTCATCTTGCCAAAAATATCATTTTAAAATATAATGCCTAATAATAAAGTGATTCGAATGAAAATCACTGACAAAATTTCAGTCTTAAAAATTATATTTTGCTTGTAATACAATGTTTTATACTCTTTTTGGACGGCTTACAATCGCATAATCTGTCCCATTGCACATGTTGTGAGCAACATCTTCCAAACCTACTTGGTTCTGGAGTGCTTGCACTTGGGCAGCAGTGGGTACTTGTGGCCCAGGGGTATTGGGCTTCCTTATCATGCCATATCCTAAATGAGAATCATCTGCCAATCTGGCTGTTTGCATAACATTTTCAACCTCATCATAATCATTCCAAGTGTCTTTACTCTTTGGCTCACCAAGGGCCAAAGTCGTAGGACGCGCTTCAATCTTTTTATATCGTGAGGATTTATTCAATTTGCTTGTTGAACCAAAATATGCCAATCTGTCATAATTTTCATCTTCAGGATCAACTACTGGACTTGGAAGCAGAATAATTCTTGATGACTCTGGGCCACTGGTGTTCAAGTTATCTTGAGATCGAGAAATAAGTTTTATACAGTTTGGATTATCACCCAAGTTAGGAGTGAACTCGGTATGTTCAGGTTCATCTATTCCCAATGTTTTCCATGCATCAGATCTTACCTCAACACTGTCATATGGCACTGACTGGCTAGGGGGACTGTGTTCTCTTTTCCCCTGATCAATTGGCTCATAGTTATCAAGCTTTTTAAATCTTGCAAAATCTGAGGTCTCCTCATTAGAAATTGGAATCTCTTGTTTCTTAGGGAGATTGATAATTTTACGAGGCGGCTTTAGTGGTTTCGGTTTCAGTGCTGGTTTAGGCATCAATAAAGGTGCAGTATCCCTTTCTGAGCATGAACTCTGTTGGCTTGATACAGAAGTAGTCTTGAATGACAGTGAACTCAAGTTCAAATCATCAGGTCTAGCAGCAACTAAAGGACTTCTGGAGCCAGGAAACAAATTGGCACTTGACTGAATATTGAATTCACTGTGTTCAGGACTGTTCAGGTTGTCATTGCCAATCATTTGCTTCATAGTTTTCATTTTCAATGACAAGCACTTGAAAATTTCTGATTGGTTTGGGTGTTCTAAATGGAAGATGCCTTCACCTGTATCACATTTTCGACCTGCTTCAAAAGTAAATTTACCCTGTCTGTAACCATAACGTCTAATAAACCTGTAAGGCCAAGTGGCATACACTTTGTCATCATTCTGACCTCTTAATTCTATGGCAGTAGATGTGAGCAAAAGAAGATATCTGATTGGTTCAAAACCACATCTAGTTGAAGCTTCAGAGGGGCACATTTTGACTGAGAATACTCCTTCTCCTGAAGAACAGTACAGATCATTGTCTTCGTCACAGCTGAAAGGATTGGAGTCCTTGTCTTTGAAAGCCACTGATTGAAGGGCAGTTACCCATTCTAAAGTTTCTGCTTCTGACTGTGTGCTCAACTGCTGGGTGTGTGACTTAGTAAGTATAGTAATAGTGTTTGGACTAGAATGTGTTATTTTTATACAATTTTCGAGAGTAATAATTTTGGGTATAGCACCAGATGCAACATCATCTTTGTTGTCAAATATTTCAAGACGCTCAATCCCTTGTTTGCTGGCAGTGAAGAGGATACAATGTTTTTGTTGCCAGTTTTTCTGTAAACAATCAGAGGAAACAATTAGACTCTAGTATTATACTATTTCTTACAGCCATCTAACAATAATTATGGCAATGAAATCCAACTAGACAATAATGAATTGAATGTACTAATTAAAATTGAACATTACGTTTTGAGTAGTTATATATGCGAATGTATATAAACAACATCGTACCTATAAGTTAATTAAATCATAGTTAAAATTAAAACAAAATTTATCCTTATACCTTATTTCATACATATATAGGAAAATTTTAATACGTTTTCCTAGTTTAGGCTTAAACGTGGAGTGGAAAGGATACCGAATTGGCAATATCAACATACGACAACTACCTTTCCATTGAGTCATTGCTTGATTACAATAATGCTACAACCAGATTACGTGATGGTGCATGAATCATATGCACTATTAATTTCTTACTCGAATAGAAGTTACAGGTTTGATTTATACCTTTTTGGGAAATTTACTAAACATATTCCCTCCGGCAGGCGGAAATAATAAACAACCGGATTTGATCTCGTCGTCTTGTTCCATATTTTGCGTTTGATTTTTCTGAATGTAAAAACTCTTTTCGATTACTAATAACACTAAAAAACATAGCACAAACAAAACTTCGTTGTCGGTTTCACGCTTAAAATTAACTCATGGATGAAAAGCGCACATTGTAATGATTTTGTGTAGAAAATGTGAATGCACTAAACTGACGATTGCTAAACTTCTTTCAATTCAATGACAGATGGGATCGTTCGTATGCCACAAGGTGTCATAGACGATAAAATACAGTCACAGAATAAACAAAATACCTATATAATAATCATTATTTATTGGTTATCTTATTCTGACAAACACGAATAAATAAATTGCTTGTTCCACCAATACAATAATACATATTTATTTAGTCACGGAAAACAATCACATCCACTTAAAACAACGGGAATATAAAAATTAAAAACACATAGATTTCTTATTTTGCTTTGGCAACATAACCGGTCTTAAGGATGTGATCGACAACATGTGTGTTGTCTGTTGTCACTTGTCACATCACATGTCATTGTCGTCTTGCTGCTTGTCTTGTACTTGTCAACTTACTTTGCTCGTTGTTCGGCAGTGATTTTAGGCAATTTATAGATTAATTTAAATTAAAACTCCAATCTATTAAATAATTAGCATTATGTCTAGTAATATAAATCCTTTAGCGGGGACTGCGCATTTGCTGGACGAGTTAGACAGTATGTGTCATAAAACTTTATTGTTATCTTTAACAACTCGTGTTATTTATTTTGATCAAAACAATTCTTGTTTTCTAAAGAGAAACTGATGGTGTTGCTGCGGGATGGGAGGACTTTGATTGGATACCTTCGCTGCGTGGATCAATTCGCCAACTTAGTTTTGCACAAGACGATAGAAAGGATTCATGTCGGCAGAGAATACGGCGACATTCCCCGAGGCATATTTATTGTACGAGGCGAAAATGTAGTACTGCTTGGTGAAATCGTAAGTTTTTTTCCTTAGAATTACACAGATTATACTTAGAACGTGGTTTCGTAATGTTACCTTTTCCAGTAACATCATTTTTCCATAATAGGATTTTAATGGTTACTTTTATGTTATGCTATGGTATTATTTTCATATAAAATATGTATCCTATCCTATTTTTATGAATAATATAAATAAATAAATATAGTAAATGATTAGTTTCAAGTACTTCTAGATCTTGTGTAAGTTCATAGTAAAATGTTGAAGTCAAAATAGTATTATGAAATTCTTAATGACTACTAATTTAGATAACTTGATTACTTAGCAACCTTCGGGATAGGTGGTTCATGGTCTTTTAAGTAGATGTAGATGTATTACATTAGGTTCTGTGCTCCATAATTATCCAAAATATATAACAACTAACAAAACAATACTGTTATGCCATTATCTAATTTCTGGTAGAGATGGGTATGCAATAATGAAACAATGACACAATTAATTTTAAATTGTAGGACAAGGACAAAGAAGACAATTTACCATTAACAGAAGTATCAGTTGATGATATTCTGGATGCACAAAGACGAGAACAAGATGGAAAGATTGAGCAACAGAAGTTACTTTCAAAAGCTTTGAAAGAAAGAGGACTCAATCTGTTAGCTGAAATGGGCCACGATGATATGTTTTAGATGACCCTATTTAGCATAATTCTCTATAATGTAAGACTGTGATTATGAATAAACTCTATATATCATTTGTTTGTTTTTTATTTGTGAAAATAATTATGAGTGTATGGCTAAACATTCTGGAGATCAAACCTAAGAACCTTTTAAGAAGGTCATTCAAACAGCTGCTCAACAATGAAGTATAAAGATATTTATTTGATGTATTGCCGTTATAAAAATGTATGTGCAAACAA